AAGCAAGTTTGTGGTTAAGGCCATGACTTCGTGAAACGTTTTTTTAATTAAATGAACCTAGAACATAATGAGCTCAAGTTTCGTTGACAAAAACTCGTTGCGACACGCCAGTGCTCAATGTGAAGTATTGGTGATACTTGCTAGGATCTTCTGAATCATCGTGTACCAACTCATGATGAAGCCAGGAGGGAAGGGTTTCATATAGGATAAGAATCGCGGACAAAACAAGTGTACGCTATCTTAAAGGGTATTTTTCATATTTTATCAACACGTCTAACGCGAATTCTCCTGGAATATTCGGAAGCAGTAAATGATACAGCATACCGCTTAAAGAGTTTATCAAACTCCTTCATGACTTGTTATCAGAAAGTGCGATCTTTTGAGAACGCATCAAAAATAGCAAAACGCTTCTACTTAGAAATACCCAGGCTCAGACAATGCCATGCGCTTGGAAACGAGGAAAAGGGCGCATCGTATTTTTGAAAGAATTTAGCTTTGTCTCGACACCCAAAAATCCACCGGATGTTTCGACAGGCAGAAGGGCTAGTCCTTCGCTCAGATAAACCTGAGGGTGTAAATCACTCGCTTTTGATAGAGACGAATAATTGACATATCTTGAAGATTACGTAGCTCTTCATGCACAGAAATCTAGCCATGTACGCAAAGATTCTGATACATACTCACAACCAAAATGGCGAATTACATCAACCACAGCCATCACTCGTAATGATAGCTCATATTCACCCTGTCACGGCCTATGCCAACCAATTCAACGGCTGGCTTCTCTGTTCTCCAAATTGACGATAATATCCTCAATTTCCCTGAAATACGCAACAGCTCTTTCCATGACAATAAGTCTTCTGATCGAGTAACCCTCAGTGCAAACACGCCATTTGAATCTACTGCACACACGCCCACTAATGATTAATTGTGGTGTCCCGTTACGAAATCGACAATCTCAGGTTGCCCCTGGTTTCCAGGTAAGCCAACGAAAATCCGCCTTTCCTAGGTTCATTTGGCTTGCTATCATCCACTTTTAGATTATAATTTTTCTGTTGGACATAATTTTAGCTGATACTTCCCGGCGTTCATCAAATTCTACCTTCCTCACCATATTCCATCATTTTTCGTCCCTCGTCCCGCGCTTCAAATATAAACAGCAGCTGCTCCTAATTTCCAGTATGGTCTCCATTCATTCAATTGGGTTGGTTTTTGTTTCACATACGAGCTTTTCAAACTGAATCAAGATTACTGGTGATCAGATCGTCCTGACTCTACCTGTGCCAACTCCTCCGTCTTACCCAAATCCGGCCGCCTCAGGAATGCGTATGCCGTTTCCGATAAACACAATTTTGACGTTCAATAGGAGGGTACAGAGAAACCGGAGTATCTCAGTGCAAAAAGGGTATGGCACTGCTACACCCACTCTGACGGCACTCCCGTAAACCTTTTCTCCATATCCACGAACGTCAATGCCCGCTCACTGAATCCAGTAAATGCAATTACGGAAAGTTCCACCCGCACACGGCCCCCTCTAGGACGAGTTTCATCTAACTCACTTAAGATTTCATTAGGATCTAAACGACATGGTTTTCCGCTGTAATTTCATTTGGCCCTATGTATCAACTCTATCTCCCCAATTTAAAAATTCACCACATCGCTTTACTTCTATCAACCTGGTATCTTTACCTCAAAACGGACTGCCTTCAAACCGTTCTTGACAAACAAACAAGCTCGTATTTATGAACAGCTCAGCCAAGGCCAAGGACGGAGGACTGATATCGGATGTGATATTTTTTGACTTAAAGCACTTGTGACAAACAAGCTCGTATTTATGAACAGCTCAGCCAAGGCCAAGGACGGAGGACTGATATCGGATGTGATATTTTTTGACTTCTGAAAAGCACTTGATCGAAACCCACGGGTCTCGCTGCTCCAAGAACTCGAATTTTACAGAATCCAAAAAAAAATCCTATAGTGAATCAAGGCGCTCTTATCAGGCACATAATTTCGAGTTGAAGTAGGCTCCACATATTCTTCTGCGCCGGCCTTCATTGGAGTTCCTCAAGGCCCCTTTTGGGGCAACTGCCGGTTCTGATGACGACCTTCCCGTTGTTCTTGCAGGTCACTTTCTACTTTTTGCGGACGACTAGAAATCTTGGAGCTCCATTGTCGGTCCCCTCCTGTGGAGTCCACATACAACAGCTCCATTAATACAATAATCGCGTTGTCTACCTATGATGTAAGGTGAACGTGACGCCCATTAGGGGTGTCCAGTGAGCTGCTACGGGGTTATTAGCTGGCCTAAGGCGTCTCACTGCACCTAAACTTCCTGTATCGTACGGTGTGGGTGGCCGTCTATGAGTTACGCGTGCGCTGAGCCTGCCATACTAGGCGTAGGGGAGAAGACAGAGGACTGGGGACACAGCTGTATTGCCAGGACAAAACATAAAGAGCGCCTGCGTAAATATATAGGATGGTTAATTGACCAAATATGGCCGTTCACTTGTTTGTTCCGTACAGCCAATGGTGTTGTTCCGGTCGTGAACAATTTCAGGCCCACTACGCTGGTCGTGTGTTGCTAAGCGGTGTTTGGTTGGAGCTGCCGACTGACCTACTTTCCGGACGTGTCGTACCGATGGTGACCTTGGGGATGCATCACTCTCTACACATGCGCATTTTCCCCTTTCTGAGCGCGTCCTGACACAGCTCTTTTCCAATGAGCATCGTCTCTTTCTAATTAAACTAGAACTTACTTTCGTCCTCCTTGACAAGTGTTATTTGACGGTATTTCACCGTTAGTCTAACCGACACACGAGGGGCACGATGAGATGTTTTACACGGATTCACTGATCAATACATGAAATCGGGGCTTCTGCCCAACTTTTTTCACTTTTGGTAATTTGTGTGAGGAACAAGCTTTATTCTTCGACCGTACCCACTGCATCTTGCATCGATTTCAAGTCACTTTCGAATGCTATTTTACGTAAGTCCTCGCGCCAGTGTTATTATTGCGCAATGCGATGCCACATCCTTCTTTTTACTAGCGTCTTTCAGGTGAACGTGAGCTTCTGAATGGCAAGAAAAGTTCGATTTCCGGATACCTTAGCGAAATCTCCAATCTTTGGCATTATTCAATGAATACATGAATCCCTGTGACGTGAAACAGTGAGGGAGTCCTTCGCGAATCTGATTATCAAAGTTTAAAGCCTATCCATGAATCTTTGATTCAGCGGACAGCCCCGTCTGGTTCACCGCATGTTCTCTGGATACTGGCTAAATCGATATGATGTTCCGTATTTTGAACGACTACTATTCAGCTACTGTAGATGGGTCCAAAGGCAGGCAGTGCCTTCAACGAAAGCTTCGACGAGTGAACGAACACGAATAGCGTAGTGGCATGGCAAGAACTTTCACAGGTTACTGGCACTGAAAGACGTGTTTCCGTATTGGCGGTGAAAACTTAGCAACGTGTACAGAAGATAATAAATTTCAATAAACCTGACGGCGGTAAATTATTGAATATCTTCCAGAGCTTCGGGGAACTGATGTAACACTAGTATAACAGCTGTTACTTTCCGGTTCGCATATGTTCTTGAGGTCTACGTTTGCCTGAAAGACGTGACGAAATAAAGAGTGCGGCAAATCTGTAGGAGGAGGATCCATTGGAATGCATCAAAAATTGCCTTGAAACGAGTTTTATGTGCAGCATGGATAAAAGTCGAAGGAAAACTTATTCCAATTACGAACTACTTAGACGAGGAAAACCTTTTCACTCTGTCCGCTCTGTCTGTTAGTAAGGTCACTGGTGGGGAACGAAACTTTGTTCAGACAATGCGTAGGTCAGCATCAAGTCCACTAACAGCAGACCACAGTACATTGAAAGGAGTTAAAGCAGCTCGTTGGACACCATTAATGGGAGATACGGTTGTCGTCTAAGTTGGATGGTTGTCCTTTTCAAGAAGCGGTCCGGTGAAAGCTCCACAAGGCAAGATATATCAAGTGTTTAGAGCGCGAATTTACTGGCCGGAAAGTCCGTGGTCCAAATTATTTCAAATTATTCGAAGTATGGTGCGTGCGTCTTGTAACTAGTTTTCGTGATGGATTGACGTGCTTAAGTTGTTTTCATATGTAGTTGTGCTCTATTATGCTCTGTTCCAACCACACAGGACGATAGTGCTTACTGGGTCTCTTACGAACGATATTCTGACTCTTCCCACCATTCAAGAAAGGTGCGAATTTAATGATAACTGACGGTCCAGCTTCAACATTAACTGAATTGATCTGGCGGTAAAACTCGGAGACGTCAGTTAGTCCAAAAAATGTAGGCATGGATTTCGATGCATATCAGGAAGGTTGCTGACGCAGACCAGAAACAGGTACCGTTGCCTAGGTGACGGTATTTTTCTCAGCCTATTTCTTGCTCTTGGACACCCAAGCTGGTGTTCACGTCAAAACAATCACCAAAGGTGCGTAAAGTATACTAACACCCAGAACGAAGTCAGAAACGCATGTACAGCACTTCATACACATAGCATAAGCGGAAATTTCGACGCTTGCCTGATGCGCCATTGGCAACCGTTATTCGGCTAATACAGGGTTATGATTAGCTGTTGAGTCCAGACCAATTAGACCTTGACTTGATGCCGGACCGCAAAGCGTCCCGATTTTCGGCCAATCTTGTGTGGGTTAGGCTTCTCGGCCGTAGCGGCGCCGGACTGTAAGCGGCAAAAAGGGATCCGTGTGGACTTCCGCCTAACAATATGCGGTATGGAGTGGCGGTTTTGGACGGTAGTTATTCTCAGTGCCCTATAATCAACACAAGGGTACCAATTTCCGGACTTTATCGGTGCCGCGGCGATACCCATGCGGTTTTCGGCGGGTGAACCAGCTCGATTATTTGGCCGAACTCGGCTCGAGTGGTCTTCAGTCTTCCACGACTAAGGCGGTTTCTATTTGTACAGATCAGTGGACGTTTCGTTTTGATGTATTTTTCAGCGTTCGTGGAGGCTGACAAGTCCGTCGAGGATTGCAGCAACTGCGGGAAACGGCGAAGAAAATCTGTTATTGAGGAGAAACACATTGTAACGGGGCCAAAGGTGACCTTCCAAGAAAAGCAAAAATGGTCATACACTCTGGTGTTGCTGTCGCTGGTTTTTCCCATGCCCGAGGTCATCACCTATCAATTGTTGTATGATCTGCGGAGAATCACACGGCCTCATTGTCAACGGGGTAACATACTGGAGTGGTGTGGTCAGTGTCATAAAACAGGCGACTTAAGTGGTTAGTTACGCTGGTTGCCGTCACGCACTGGCATATTCGTTTCCTTGCCCCTTATTAAATAAGGAAAGAGTGGTATTTCAGGGAACCACTCCCCAATGTCCGACGGAACTAACATGTACATTGAAAATTCGGCGATGAAGAAGAGTGCGGACGACGGGGTCGATAGGTCCCTGGGTGTGAGCTGTTGGCCGAAGGAGACTGCACTTGCTATGTGAGCCTCGCAAGATTCGACGAAGACGAACTGTAAGGAGACAGCACACTACAAAATTTCGCGGTGCACAATGAAACAAAACAGTTGTAGGCTGCTAGTCAGGGAAGACCAAAAATAGGCGCTGTGCTATAAGGACAATGCCCCACCTAGGCC